TTATCGAAAATTATCGGTCTCGTTATGATCATTGCAAAGTTATGCGACTTCGATAAGATGGCCAGGTAGAGACAATTTTGATAACAAGTCCAACTAAAATGACACTATAAAGAGATAAGTAGGTAGATGTAATGTTATAAAATATTATGTTTAATCGTTTKTCAGTTTCAGTGTTTTCTTGTTATATTTTTTTAGAGATTAAAAACATTTTGTATTAATCTCATTTTTATTTGAAATTAAGACAATAATAAATAACAATGATAAAGACATAAAAAAATAACTTTTTCCACTTAGAATCAAAAACTCATTAGGATTTACATAATGTAAATAACTTTACGAAATAAAATTAAAAATAGACATCATAAATAATGCAATTACAGTAACAGTATAATATATATTTAAAAAATAAATTATGCATCAAATGTTTTTCATGTATATAACAACTATACCTAGGTATAAAAACAACTTTATAGGTATAATTTTTTAACAATAACTCAAGACATTCAACTATTGTATAAATGATTTTAAAACTTAAACCATTAAAAAAAAACACATAAAATGTGTCATAGGTACATGTTATCATGATTCAAATTAACTTACGCCCGAAGCATTATAAAAAAAAGTGCAGTAAAAAAAAAAACAAAAAATTTCTGAGATATACCACACTATAAATAAAAACAATAAAAAAAATTCTAACAATTTATATCGAATTCATACCAACATTTTATTGTATTTAATTAATTGTATTATATCGAGAACATAATACAGGTCATCTTTTCAAAATCTAAATTGACGATAAATATTATTATAATAAACAATTACAAATCACCATCCATATTATCACTACAGAAATAATATAATCTTATAGTTATCACCTTCCTTAGAACTTCCAAGGAATGTTAATAATAGTTTCAARAACTAGTATTTTATTTGCTAAATTAGTAAACTGTAATAAAATATAYAAATTATATTCTATATTTTCAAAAATCAAATAATACACACTTATAGGTATTAACTTTTATCAACGCAGTAAGTTGTTGTTCGATAATCTATTTTCTTTATTATAAAATAGCATGCTTGTTAACATTTATTTTGGATTTTTTAACGTGACTTTTAAGTATCTATGTTAATTCCACGAATTACATTATCAGATTATAATATCACTATAATAGTTGTGTTCACGCAAAGAACTGATTGCCTTTTACAAATTAATAGTATTCAGTTTRTTTAAACAATTTAAAGCGCTTAATATAATTACCTAATCAACATTCATAATGAAATTAAACGATGGATTTATACAGTAAGTGAGAAACAAGCAAAGTTGGATGGGTGCCTGGAACAGGTGTGCCTAGCTTTTAAATTTGAAAGCGAAGATYAATCGATTAATAATTTTWAAAAAAATGTTACGTGTGATCGTTTCAAATTTTCTTAAAAAAAAACAAATGAAAATACATATTAGGGAATTAGAAATATTGCCTCTTTTAACTTTAATTTTTATAGAGTACTACCCACGGTATTAAATTACATGATCATAGAGGTAGAACTATTTAAAAATGTTTAAAAACAAAAAAAAATCATGTACTGTTATGTTAAATTTGATCTGAATCTCTAGTCTATACTATATTATATTCAAAACACAAACAAACTATAATATAATGATGATTGATGATGAATAATAAAATGTAAATTATGGATTTATTTATGAATTATGAAAATATGAAAAGTAAGTTATATTGTTTGATAATCTAAATTCTGAATATATTATTTATTTTTTATTTTTACATTTATAATTTTTATTTGATATTATAATTTTATATTGAAGTTT